ATCATCAGCTGGCAGTCTGAAGCTTGCTGGCAGCTGGAAGTTTGCTGGGGCCCCTTTGGCTGTGGCTCTCAACAGAATTAAAAAATCTATTGGAAAATATACCCTAAATGAATGTGTGTGTGTGTGTGTGTGTGTGTATGTGAGACTATACATTATTATACCATATACTATATTAACTATATTCCATATATATGTATAATATATGTAGATGTATATTATACACATGTATATATGTATAATATATATGGAATACTGTATTAATTATTAGCAGGCTAATCATCGATATGCCTAATCATCAAGAATCTTTGATAGAAAAAAGACAAGATGTCTTGTACTTAAATTTCTTAAATTTTAATTAAACACTTATTTGAGTCAATGTAACACTGAGAATCATTAATATATTAAATGCAGTAAGTATATTTAACTGTATTAATTGTATGTAATTATAGTTATAAATATACAGAGATATAAATATATGAATATCTAATAAATTAATATCTATAGTTAATATGTGAAGGAGGAAAGAATATAAGATAAAAACCAACTTCACTAGTAGTATAGAAAAATGCAACTGAAATCAACCATTCAATATTTTTTCAGTTATAATATTGGCAAAAATTTTAAGATACTACTGTGTGCCAATAAGATTCAGGAGAAAATATTTTATACTGCTGGTGTGATTAATATATTAAAGTCTTCTGATAGTTTTATTTCAAATAATTTCTTAGTATTAAATGTCATTTTAATATAAAATACTCAAAATGCCTAAATATCCACCAACAGGAATAGTTGTATCAATTATAATATATTTATATTATGAGATACTATGCATAAAAATAAAAAAGTTGAAGGAATCCATAGTATATAATGAAAAAGATGTTTCAGAGTATCATTGAGTGTTAGTATTGTCATGCTTTATGAAAGAGTTTATACACACCTACTTCCAGTCTTTATGATACTTGGTGATCTTTTCAGCATTTTCCACATAGGCATAAATTCTTTCATCCAGAAGGAAAATATAATCTTCTGAAAAAGAGGCATTCCATTATGAATCTCACAATGGGAGAAGCATGTCCTGTTTGCACATTTTAGATCTTTTTTTCAATGGTCATTGCCTTTGTAGTAATAGTGAACAGTGAAGTTATCTTGATTTTTCCAGTGAATTAATTTTGATTAATGATTTTTGACTTATTCTCAAACAAGCGTGAGAGAATTACATCTTCATTATAGCTTCCAATGATAAATTTCTCATTCATATTACTAATGTGACTGTAGAAGTCCAAAAAGAATTAATCTAAAAAGAAGATTAGGAACATTATGAAGAAAATTAGTGATGGGTGCTTGCTAACAATTTTTATCATGGTTATCTAGAAGAATCTTTCTAGCTCAGCAGGAGGATTATTGACAGACCACATCATCAAGAATACCTACTATTTAATTATTAGAAAAAAAATCCATGAGATTTTGTGCTGGAGTTTTTTCAAATTTGATTCAACGTAACAGAACTGCCCACTTGATCAGTAGTTTTCTCTCTCCTCCAATACTTCTCTGGGGTTCTTTAAAGGGCTATTTTGGGGCCTGTGGCTTTTGACTCTGCTGTTTTTTATCAATAATTTCTATTATCAAAAAGACAAAAAGTAACAAATGCTGTTGAAGATTCCCAGTAACAGAAACCTGTAGGTCGCAATGCTTATTGGTACAGTCATTATGAAAAGAGTATGAAGCCTCCTTATAAAATTAAAAATAGATCTACCATATGATCCAGCAATTCCACTGCTGGGTATGTATACACTGAAATATTTATTGCAGAACTTTACCGTAGCTAAGATACGAAATCAACCTGGGTGTCCATTAATGGATATAAACATCACACATGTGTGCATGCATACACACACACACACACACACACACACACACATACACACCACACCCAGGAGTTTATAGTTTATTCAGCCATAATAAACTATAAAAATTTGTCATTTGCAGCAACATGGGTGGAACTGGAGAACATTTTAAAAACTGAAATAAGTCAGGCACAGAAGGACAAATATGGCATGTTCTTTCTTGTTTGTGGAAGCTAAAATGTGAAGTAGAGAATAGAATAGTGGTTACCAGAGGTTGGAAAGTGCACAGGGATAGGAGATGATGATTAACAGGTGCAGAAATGCAGTTGGATAGAAGAAACAACTTCTAATGTTTTGTAACATATTAGAGTCACTATGGTTGACAGAACAAAAAAAATGTTCCCAATACTAAAAAATGATAAATGTCTGAAATGATAGATATGCTAGTTATCTTGATCTGAACATTAAACATTAAACATTGTATACATGTAGTAAAATTTCACACTTTATGTAATAAATATATGCCTCCAAATTACTGCATCAACTAAAAAACCAAACTCAATTGTCAGTCACCAAAGAAATAAAGTTCAGAAGTCAATGGGAAATTTCTTGAATATAGCAATTTGAATTTTGTATTAATTTTTAGAAACATACTATAAAATTTACCTAAAGTAAAGAAGAAACACTATTTTTTTACTCCATTAATTTGTAACTTTTGATTATTTTATTGGTAGATTCTGCTTTACTTCATAAATAAAAAAGACTTCTTTCTTAAAAGGAGACATGTAAATCACATTGTAGGGTATATTTTTATCTTAGGTAAGGCAGCCCAATAGTTGTAAGCACTATAAAAAGCATATATATCTATATCTATCTAAAATAAGAAATTATGCAGGACCTGTTTGAAAATTGACAGATTAAATATGTAGGTTAGAAGTAAAAAAGCTAATTCCAAAGTTATTAAGGATTGATTTTAAAAACAGTAAAAAAGCTTAATTTTAAAACTCAATTTTTATTATTTTGGTTGTGATGCATTGGAGGTCACCACTCCTTAAGTGAACAAAAATGACAGATCGGGGATTTTTCAATTCCTGCCTCCCTAGTGGCATTAATGCCTGCAACTACTGTACAAGAAAAACAGCATGTGACAAACACATGGTCTCTGCCAAAGAGGTCTATCATAAAAGCACTGGAATAATACCAATAATTTTCTATTAATTAAAAGGATCCTTCAAATTTCTTTCCTTTTATTTAATATAAATAATCCACACATTACTAAACATAACATCATTTTCTTTTGTGTGGTTTGGGGTATTAGGAATCAAATTCAGGGCTTCACAAATGCTAGGCCATTTCTCTACCACAGAACTACATCTCTATCCCCCAAGCCATTTTCTTCTATATTAAGTTTATAATCCAAACTTTCCATTAATTTTTATGCTTTCTACCCTCTTAATTATCCTCACTTCAGTTGCGTTTTCTCATTTTCAGAGTTATTAGTCATTTATTTGGCCCTAAACTGGAAGAACCAAAGCATGAGCATTTTTCACATTATCTATCTAAAATTCTTGGAATAAACTAACCAAAATAATATTGATTTACCCCTGATTATCATATAAATTAGTGCAAGTGATTCTGATGCAGCCATGATAGTCAAACCTAAAATCACATCACGACCATGCACTGCTTCACATTCTGTAAAAACAAATGAAATCTTATATCAGAAAAATGCATATGCAATACCTGAATCTTTTAAATGAATAAGCAATGATGGTAATAATGTCTAGTTTTAAGAAGAGTAATTCTTGTTTTAATGATCAAGAAATAAAAAAACAGCAGCTAAGGTTATAGCTCAGTGGTAGAGCACTTGCCTACCACATTTGACACACTGGGTTTGATCCTCAGCACCACATTAAATAAATAAACAAATAAATAAATAAATGTAAATTGCATCAATGTACAACTAAAAATATATATTTAAAAAAGAAATAAAAATCATCTATATATCTTCATTATTATTACCTCAGGCCCTGAAGTAACTCCAAAAAGAAAAAGCCCTCATTTGCATAACATATACCTTATCATCTTAATAATAGTTTATTCAGATTAAGAAAATCTGTATAAAGTCTAAGCCTCCAATTAGTTGGGATATGGTTAGTTAAAAAATTCTTCTAGACATGTAGGTATAATAGTTGGGCTGCCAGAAAATTCAGCCCACGAGCGATAAACAGAAAATATTCTCATACTATTACAGAAAGCATTTTTCAACTGGGAATAAGAGTTAATAAAAAGATCTCATGACATCAAATGCTCTCATTCATTGGTGTTGGCAATGTTCTCTGAAATTGTGCAGCCATTTTGATATAGAGAGTTGGCAATTTATTACAAAACTAAACATACTCTTAACATACAATCCATAAATTGCACTCCTTGGTATTTACCCAAATGGAATTTGGTGAATTTATGTTCACAGAAAAGCATGCACACAGATTTTTACAAAAGCTTTTATTTATAGTTACAAACAACTGAAAGCAACAAAGGTGTCTCTCAATAGATGAATGCATAAACAAACTCTGGTACAGCCACACAATGGAATATCTTTATAATAAGGTATCAAGTCATGAGAATACATGGAGGAAACTTAAAATCTCTATTTCTAAGTAAAAGAAGCCCATATGAAAAAGCTACATATGCTTCCATAAGACATTCCAGAAAATGTAAAACTATGGAGATAATAAAAAAGATCAAGGTTGCCAGGGATGAATGAATAGCTGGAGCACAGAAGATTTTTAGGACAGTGAAACTATTTTCTATGATACGACAATTGGAGGTACATGTCATTATACAATTGTCATAGAATGCACAACATCAAGAGTTAACGCCAACATAAGCTATTGACTTTGGGTGATAAGATGCATCAACATTGGTTCACAAATGTACCACTGTGGTGGGGACATTGAGGGAAGTTGTGGTTGGTTGGATATATGGAAGGGCTCTGTACTTCCCCTTTTTTTTTGCTAGAAACCTAAATCTACCCTAAAACTTCAATTATATATACTTTAAAAAATATTTTTATTAATGTATTATAGTTATACATAATATTGGGGTTCATTTTGACATAATCAGACATGCACAGGCTATAATTATAATCTACTTAAGTCCCCAGTACTTCCTCTTTCCCTTCCTCTTCCCTCCTCCATTCTCTTGTTCCGCTTCCTACTCTATTAGTCTTCTTTTTATTTATAGTTTTTCTTTTTAAAGTGTGTGTGTGTGTAAAAGTGAAATGCACTATTGTATATCCATATATGTATATTGCATAATTTGGCCAATTTTATTCTGCAATTTCTCCCCTTTCCTGTCCTTTCTTTCTCCCCTTATATCACTTTCTTCTACTCTACTGATCTTGCTTTTATTTTCATAAGACACCCACTCATTCCTGCCTTTCCCCCCTTATTTTTCTCTAGCTTATACATATGAGAGAAAATATTCAACCATTGTCTTTCTAAATCTGGCTTATTTCAATTAGCCTGACATTCTCCAGGTCCATCCATTACCAGCAAATTCCATTATTTTATTCTTTTGTTGTGGCTGAATAAAATTCCATTGTGTATATGTAGCACATTTTCTTTATCAATTTATCTATTGATGAGCAACTATGTAGTTTTTAAAAGAAGAAAGAAAGAGCTTTGTCTAAGGGAAACTCATATCAAGACTACAGAGGAACATGAATCTTACCAGTTACACAAAGCTTTACTCCAGCCATAGCAAATGCAAAGCCGGCCAACTCTATGATCATTAATATCAAAATGACCAGTATGGACTTCCCAGGCACTGAGGGAAGGAAAAGGACATAACAGAAGCACGTTGACAGTATTGATGAGGCAAGTATTCCTACTTGTATTTGGTAAGATCCTATGACCAAAGTCTGACTGTAGTTCATTGTTAGGTGGTAAACATTTTTCCAGAGACTAATCCTTCCACACAAGTGTTAGCCCCAGATTCACACATTCAGGAGTCTTTTATTGTCATGGTCATCTGTTGTTTTAACTCAAAATCTTAGAACAAGGCTGCTTCAGCCACACTTTTGGGCTTTACTTCATGAATGGCCATTAGTGGCATCTCCACAATGCACATGAAATTTCTCTGAGGAGAGGCCAAATACGCAAATGTACACATCATTATCTTTATCTTGTTCATCTAGAAGTTCTCTGGTTTTATAATACATTGATACTTTGCAACATGCAGAAGCCAGAGAGATTTAAGACCCAATGTTAAATGTGACTCTTTTAACAAACATATGCTAGTGATTTACTCTTAAAATGCAGAGAAAATTATGCTGATTATTGTTAGTATTTCCACACCATCTTCTAAAACTAAAGTGTCAAGGATTGGTAATAATTAAAAAAATGTTTTCCCTATTCATGACTTATATTCATCTTGTAGAACTAGT